GCTTGGAATATCTGCAAGTCAGCTACACAATTGGCTCTGTAAACTTCATCTATTTCTATTCATAGCCTGTTTTTATTCCGAAGAGCTAACGGCATTTAAGGCACGGCGCAGGGCTTCCCATAAAATATGCATAGAATTGGAACATAAAAGAATTACTTATAGGCCTGAGAGATAAAAAAATAATAATAATCTATCTATAAAAACCTGTTTCTGAAATATACTGCCCACCTGTTGGCTAATTACAGGCTCTGAATTAATAATGCATTCACATAACTCCTGCGACGGAAATGCATTAAGGAGGGATTTGGCGGTGACGAGGCCTCTGGGAATCACCGGGGAGAGTTTGTTGTGGTTCGCCGGCAGCAAAGGCGGATGGCAGAGGTCTCTGAGAGCGAGGACTCGGAAGAGGGCCCTGCGTGTAATGCAGGGATGGGGCTGGGACCATGAAGAAGTGGTGTGCTGCCCTTGGAGCTTGTGGAGTCTGGCAGCAGTGAGGAAGAGGACCCCGAGGAGCCTGTGCCCACTGCACGTATGCGCAGGGCTGCTCGAAGGCGAGAGCAGCTGAAGCAGCACGGGCAACTCGGGAATAAGGCTGGAAGGTGATGGCCCCTCCCATAAGGGATAAAAGCCAGCCCGCAGAGGTGGGATTCTTTGCAGGAAGCAAAGTAGTTCTCGCACTTCAAGTCTTGTGGCAGTTCGGACTATCCTGGTTTGTGTTTGGAGACTTTTAGTTTTGAATATTTCCTTGCAATTTAATCTAGTGCTCTTGGCAACCTTGCACAACCTTGGAAGGGCTTGCTCTTATCTTGGACAATTAGTTTTAAACGACTCTTGGCTGTAAATGCACAGAATTCACAGCGCTTGCATTAAAAGAGGTTTGCTTTTGTACATAGTTTGTGTTTGTTTAATTTGAACAAGGCTTGGGTCAGAACAGGGTTGTATCACAGAAGAAAAAAAAATAGACAAACCAAAAGAGATTTTTATGCCAGAATAAGATGATCCTGGTGGGACAAAGCAGATAGAAAAAAAACTCTGACATTGCAGGACAAAAAGCTAAATTACTGTTAAAACAAAAATAACAAAAATAACTTTAAGGATCCCCAAGTAGCACAATGGACAATGTCCACATTTACTCCCAAGTGATGGGAGTAGAAGAAGGGGGCATCTTTGAGTGCAGGAACTCCTCGACTTATGACCACAAATTGACCCCAAAATTTCTGTCACTAAGCAGAACAATGATTAAGTGAGTTTTTGGCCCATTTTACAACCTTTCTTGCCACAGTTGTTAAGTGAATCACTGCAGCTGTTAAGTGAATCTGGATTCCCTGTTGACTTTGCTTCTGAGAAGGTTGCAAAAGGGGAT